TAGGTTATATTAAAACATGCGATTCAAAACTGAGGTTACATCGGCTAGCTGTCAAAACACATTTGCACTATACTGATGCACTTTACTGACGCAGCTTAGTCATGGACGTAAAAATAATTAAGAACGAAACGTGGACCCTAAAATCGGACCCCAGGCATTAATGGCACGAACTGTACAAGGACAGAGTACAAGCACATGTCCTTATAATTTTCGACATCCACGAAAAACATCAGCCGTGGGACTTAAAAATGGACCGAGCCGACAGAGGACGGAGTGGTCAGTGGTGAGACTGGTGAGTGGACTGTGTAATCGGCGTAACCGGCGTCAGGGTAAGGAATATTACGTACCTGCGGGCTGCGGCAGGGTACGCAATTTTTAATTTTGGTTACCCTGTGATAGAATTAGGAAAATGACATAAAAATATGTGCTGTATAATCTAAAGGTACAGGTTAAGATCACGTGGACCGTCAAAGTGTATACTTTTGTACGAGTGAAATAATAGCGATAAGAAATAATAATGGCATCGATAATCAGATTAATGAGTTCCTTTGTGGATTCGAAGGAATTCGAGTCGCTGGTGCACGGTTTGATGGTCGATAATAACGACGTGCCGTTTGACAGTCACGAGATATGTACATGGAATAGACATCTCGAGTTCTTTCTTTATTAAGTTCTCCGTAGGCACTTTGCGTAACGCGTCGTTCATGTTTGCATTTCAGATCGATACTGTGCAAAATGCTTTCGTAAAAAGTCAATTCTCGCATAAATTAAGCGGGATGCGATTTCCTGCTCATCTTGGACAGAATCTTACCCACATGTTCCAAAGACACACGTTTGCAAAGTACGGTTTGCTTTGGATAGCCGTTGCCAAGAAAGTGCTGGAAAATGTGCACAGCAGCGCGCATGACTTGACACTGGCGTGTAAAATGTTGGGAGTTTTAGGCGAGCACTGCAAGGAAATTCTGAATTTGCACAAGCAGATCTTCATACAATACATGAAACAGCTTCTGAATGTTCTCAGTGCATTGCAACCAGACGCGAAATCTGGAGCAATCTATTACTTGGTGGCTGTACTGCTTTAACATTATTCTGAAGTTTGCGAAAGGTTTCAGGTAATGGAACGTTGAAAGATTTATCAGCTGAAAGTTTTACATTAATCTCAATTATTGCAAAATGTTGTACACGAATAAGAAATTGTTTAATTTCTTTTTCAGAAACTGATAAGGAAAGTGATATTACTACAAATCGATTCCACGCAAGAGAATTTGGTTAACGCTAGCGCAAGATGCTACGTTCTTCTGTCCGACAGAGCACTCATTCAAACCACCACTAAATCTGTATACATGGCAACGACATATAACGAAGTGTTGCTTTGCAACAATTTGCATGCTATAATGGACGCATTGTTCCCTGGATTGATAGAGTTGGAGAGTGTAGACATCTGGGATAAATTAGAATTACCATCCATTTCTAATAGAGACGCGGTACAATGCTACAATAGACGGAAATAGAGATTTACAAATCTGCGCGTTTATCTCATCTCAATGTTACGGTACTGATCTATTAATTTTCGCTAATCAATATTATCCGGGATAAAATATTATTGGGATCTTGAAGTATATATTTGGTTTAAAATTGCAGTGGATATGAAGCGAAAAATTCTGTTCTACCTTGCGATATTCTAGGAGTCTTGTTCCGAGGATTGGCGGTAACGCCGTTAAATCTGATGAATAAAACTTCCTTTAAGGAACAGATGCTATACATCATCTTACCAAAAATGCATATCGGCTTACTCAAAGTTTTGGACGCGTTTATAAATAGGTATATAAATTTCGATAAGATGTACATTCGATCGAACAATTGTGGATCATGTAGCTGTGATGCAAAATGTATGTTTTAAATTTTCTCAGGAATTGGTACCGTACGGGGCAATCGTATTACAGTTGTTCCAACAAACGTTGCAGTGGACAAGTGTCAGGATATGCGCTTACAAGTGTTTGTGTTCGTGGCTAATTAATACGGGTTCATTGTCGGGAATAGAGACAATTGCAAATGAATGTGTCGCAGGCATATTGAAGAATGTGACACCAGAACGACTGCATATTATTAGCTGTAAGTTTTGGATGATTATCAATTAAATGGTGCTTGAATCAGTGCTGAATCTAATAATTTCAAGTTTTTGCAGAGAGAATTGTTATCTTGTTTTAGATGCAACCAAAAACGCAACACATGTCTAAACGGGCAGTGAAACGTTTCAATCGTAGCCATTATGAAAATAGTGCAATTTTGAATAATCGAGAGGAATAATCGACGAAAAACGGACGTCTCGATGCGGATTTGTGCAGAGGGGCTCTCGTCGTTTTGCAGAATATACTTTACAACGGTAGTGTCCTGTTGAAACAGATGGTTTACAAGGTAAGTTCATTAGATGCGCTTTGTTATGATGCATTTTCACGATTTCCCGAATATTTCTTTCAGAGCGTGCAGAATACTGTGATATCCGTGTTGTACGATCTTTATCTGGGTGCTGCTGAACAGAATTTCTATAGAGATCACAACGCATGCCGTGTGGCGCTGTTTAGGGTATTGAAAGCTTTGCAAATGAATCCACACGTTGCATTGGCATTTCTTACTCAATATTGCCTGGAAATATCGCACATGGCAGCTTACGATATCGATTTGAGTATTGCTCAAGAAGCAAAACTCGCGTTAGCCGAGCTGGAAAAAATTATACATTCTGCTGCGCCTACGTTATAGTTACCTCGGCGGCAGTAAGTAATATTTAAATATTGTTTATGCTTATATTTTTTAAATATATTTAAGAGTTTCTATAGACCATTAGATGCTTTATTCATATATTGAGCAGATTACAGAAATACGTATTAATTTCTAGGTAATCTGATAACTTTGCCTGAAAATCAAACAGAACAAGTTGTTACTACTAGCAGCAAATCATATAAAAGAAGTAGGGTCGAAGAAGAACTTTTTCAAAATGCAGACGCGGCATCATCTGTACATAAACAATTAAAATTAACTGCGACGCAAAACATTGAAACAGTACAGAATGGAAACGATATAGAATTAACAGAGGAGAATAGTAGCATGGATATGAATAAAACTCGGGCAGATGACACATATAAGGATATAATCTAAGGATAGAACAAGTCGAAGATGTATTAGAAGAACGAGATAGGACACAAGACGAGAGGTAGAGTCATCTCGGTCATCAAAGATTAGCGTTGTTGATGAAGACGTTGATGCTGCGTAGAACTAAACAAGAATTAAAGACGAAATAGATTGCTTACCCGATATAGACTTCAAGATAGTGAAGGTCAAACTCGATCGTGAAGAACAATTAGCATACGAACAAATTCAGATTCTTCTCGTACTTTGCCTTCTCATATTTTGCCTTTCGCCTTTAATTCTTCTTTAGTTCTCCGCAGCATCAACGTCTTCATCAACAACGCTAATCTTTCATGACAATCCGCAGCATTCTTTTCGTCTACAAATCGTTTCCAAA